TCCTAGGGACACCCCCGCTTCTACCAGCACATAAATTCACCACACAAGCCAAAGGTTCCTCTAGAGCAGGAGCCCAAACCTCCTTAGGAGGGAACGAGGGAAAACCAAAGGCAAAGAAAACATCAAGGCAGGGACTGAAGGAACAAAGGCTTCCCCCCATTCAGCTTGGAGACATCTTCTTGGCCATTTAGCTCAGATCAAGTGTAGGCTCTGTTGACTCCCCCACCTATTCAAACGAACACTTTCAATAGTCTGATAGGTCTTTTCTGCTCTACAGCTTCTCTACCCCTGTGTTTGACGTCCCCAGCCAATGCAGTTAATGCCACATGCAGAAATACTGCCCTGAAGAGCCCTCGCTTAGATTGCGTGGTCAAGCACTTCAAAGTTAGGAAGTGTCCAATTTATGGCTGTCCACACAACCTTAATTCCACCTCGCCGTGCAGCCACTCTGGACAGGAAAAGAGGGAGTGAGCTAAAAATAGGCCGTGACCGTGCTGTCAGCCTCGTAAGGGCATGGGCAGGGAGAGGCTGAATTAACGTCTCATGGTCAGAATGAAATCAGGTACCCCCTGACTTGCCAGCGCCTGCTTTGGTGCCTTCAACCATGTACATTTTTAATATACAGAAATCACGTGCATTCTAAACATACAGAAAAATGCATTATTTATAGCTAATAAATAATAGATTGTTTATATAAGCAAAAAGAAAAACAATTGTAGGCAAGTGTAACAAATTCCCCTTCCTCCACCCCGCACCCATCGCTGCTTCATCCTGTGCGGGCAGAGAGATTTTCAAGCCCCAAGCCTCGGCACAGATTTCTGCCACTATGAAATACAGGACTAATGTTATCTGGCAGTGGCAGAAGGCTGCTCTCCTGGGGCCGGCAGAGAAGGGGACTGCTGGGGCTGGCAGTGCCCAGGCCAATGCACCCACATCCCCTTCACTTTTCCCTCCTGGGAAAACGGAGGAGTTTTCTCCCAGGAGAAGGGTCTGTGCTGGAAGGATATGACCTAAAGGTGGAAAGGGGTGATGGAGCTGGCTGTGAACACCCTCCCACCTTCCCTGGCTGGCCCAGAGCTCTGCAATAAAGTGGTGGGAGTCCATGGTTTCACCCTGTTCCTAATCTGTTATTATTATTCCAGGGAAACAATAAATTTTAATTTTTTTTCTGCCCCCCCAAGAGGCAAGCGAAGGGAAATCGTGATTCTGAACAATTCATAATTCAGCTAAACCTGAAAGGAATTTAAGGGACAAAGAACAGGCATTTCTCGACTCGAAGAGCTTCCCCCAGACGAATTTCAAGGGCCCACAGCAAACAATGGGAGTGTCAGAGGTTCTCAAAAAGAAAAAAAAGTTCAAGAATCTTTACAATAAAAAGTGTTAGGCAACACAGAGGTCAGAGCCAGCTCCTCCTATAATAAATAGCACGACTACCCTACATTAACTATAGGAGACATTTTAATGCAGTGCCTCAGCTTCGTGCTAATTATACTTTTTCACCATATTTTGAACCTAAGAAAAAATGTCATCAGTTAATTATAACAGATGAGGGAGTGTGAAGACTTCCTCAATAAATAATGCCTTGATATCTCATATCCAACAAGCTGCGTGCTCTGCTCTGAAGGTGCCCAGAAATATGTCCTCTCAGGAAATATATCAAGAACTGATGGTCCCATAAGCTGGCTTTGTTTCCAAGCCTTGATTTTCAGCCCAATAATTAAGTGATTTTTATGGATTGGGGAGAGTAAAGGTCGTGGGACTGCCGGAATGATGCCAGAGAGAGTAAATGTTTAAAAATAAATAAATTCCTAAATCAAAATGAGATACAAGAGACCTCAACAAATTCCCCCCATGGCTGCACAGGTAAGTACACAGATATAATTTGGTTTCTGGACCCATGTCCCATCTTTCCTGCATTCGTGGCATCTCCATGGGAGTCTGGCATGCACTGAAAAAGCCTGGTTTTAATGAAACCAGGCCACTGCTGCCAGCATGCCACCCGGAGCCAGCCACCACTGTCCACCTACCCCGAGGAGGAGGAGGAGGAGGAAGGGCACCGTACCCCGGCTGCTGTGCCACCCTGGGCACTGCCCCTATTGCACCCAACCCTGCCAAGGCTGCTGGGCATCCAGGGCCTTAGGTTCCTCAACTAAACCATCTTTCTTTCAGCTCCCTTCTCCACCTAGCACCCCTCACTTCCCCCTCTGAAGAGCCGGGATTTGGCGTGGGAAAGATGTCTTTGGGCTTTTCACAAATCCAGTATCCCCTTGAACCAAAACCAATTAGCCTGGCCCAAGGTCCTGCCATTGAAGGACTGTCCCTTCTTTTCAAACCCCCGCGGGCTCAATTGCTCTAAGGAGCCTGGATGTGAATGAGCAAAGCCCGCTTAAAGTGGTACTTAAGGCCAGACCAGGGTGAAGGAAAAGAGAAAGCCTCTATAGGAACAGCAAGCTGAGTTTCCAAGAGACAGCTAACTGCCGGAGATTGTGTTCTTTTGCTCCCCCCATTTTCTTTTTTTTACCCCCACTCCTTAGCTTTCGAGGCAAACGCTCCTAACCAAACCTGAGCCCCTGAATAAATATTAGAAAACACGAAAGCCAGAACCTCGTCCTGACTCTGTGCGGGAGCCCGCCTGTGGGAAGCGTGATGGCCCGGCCTCGTATGCCAGCTCTGGTCACAAACATGTGCACTCAGAGGGACAGCGGGATGGTGAGAAGCCCAAGATGATGTTTTTCCAGTTTGGGTGCTGGCAAACATCTTTCCAAGGTGACCAGGCTTGTGGGCACGAAACACTAAAATCCCCAACCTGGACAGGGCGACTCCCTGTACCGTGTGTTGGGGAAGCCAGCATGGGCAGCCTCATGTCCATCTTATGCTGGTGGCCCCTGGTGACACCCAGAGACTCAGGGTGACTGAGGGGCTGCAGTGTGGCAGCAGCAGTGCCAGGGTGACAGGCGGTACCCACACCATGAACAGTGTGTGTGCACCACCTCGTGCCAGGCGCCTCAGTGCTGATGCCAAACCAGCACCTTCCCTCCAGCCAGACACACGAGTGTTTCCAGCAGGCAGCTGTGATCCCTCCCTGGTGGACGAGCAGCACCCATCCATGGCCGCAGGTTGGATGGACCCTCCAAGCTCCTCGGCTCTGCCCTTTCTGCGGCGGCACAGACAAAGCCAGGGCAGAGCAGCAGGTAAGGGGAGGCTCTGTCCATTTGCATCGAGGGTGCAGGGATGGCATGGGAGCCAAGAGAGACAAAAGAAATGGCTGAGCCCAGGCTCAGGAGTAGAACTGGCCATTGCCAGGCAGTTCCACAAAAATGCCCATTGATGGGATTTCATCCATAACCAAGCGTGCGCGCTCACATAGCCTGGCTTCCAGGGGAGCTCCTTCCAACAGCAGGGCCTGAACAGCCCCTTCTCCACCTGACTGCGAGCCTTGGTGAGTTTGGCTTCCCCAGGTATTTGGCATAAAGCCCCTTCATCTCATGCACCAAGCCAAACCCACTGTATGGCGATCAAGTTTTAGGAAAAGGTGGGAGATCCTGAGCTGGAGCACGCGATCTCCCAGAGCATCATTTCCTTGGGCTGAAACCCACAAACTGTATTTTGCATTCATCCCCCAATGGCACATGCTGATTCTTCTGTTCCTGTCTCCCTCTGCCCATCCCCAGCTCTGCCTGAAGAACAAAGACATCACAACCCAGCTCCAGGAACCTCACCCATGTCTGGCCTACGCTGCATCCTACTGCTCCACCAGGAGAGTCCCACTGAGAAGAGAAAGAACCAGGAATGCCGGGACATGGACTCTCATCTCAGCACGCCCCAAAAAGACGCCTTCCCTTCTGGGTTTTGCCTCTACAGGGGCAAAGACCCATCCAAACCAACAGTACCCTAATGGGGCAAAAAGCAAAGCCACAAAGGGAACTATGTCCAGCCGAAATCCATCCCTGGCCCAAGGACAGACCCTTGGGGACCTCCCTTCCAATATGGCACTTTAAAAAAAAGACAGAAAGCAGAGACCTGTCGGTGGGCTGCCAGGGACTCTCTAGATGCAGCGGGTATGTCACAAGCAGAGATTTGCTGAGGGGCTTCATCCACTGCCTCACCCCCGACCCACACACACATGAGCTGGGGATTCTCATCCTGCTGTGTCCCCCATCACTCACTGCCACCTCCCTTGTTAATTGAGGGGGTGCTGCCTTCACACCTCCTCGAGGCACCCATAGGTTCATGCCAACAATAGGGGCAAGAATGAAGCATTAAAGCAGCAGAAAAAATTCAACCTCAATTTCTCTCTCCTGGACATTAAAGGCCAAATCGCTCAGTCCCTGTCTCAGTCCCCTTCAGGGGAACTGCTCTGGGGTAAGTGTACCAAGTATATGGCCTGCAAAAATACCTGAAAAATCAGCTCAGGAGAGGTGATTTTCTGGAGAAAAAAAAAAAAAAATAGTAAAACTCAAGAATGGTTTCTGACCAGCTGATTGAATAGCAAGGTGAAAAAGCTTGCATCAATCCTTTGTAAGAGTTCTCATGTAGACACGGATTTCCACACTTCCATTTTATTTCATAAAATTATATATATATATATGTATTTATATATACACACACAAAGACATTTATTATATGTGTGTATATTTTTTTTCCTCAGATCCTCTTTTTATATTTTCACCTTTTGCAATTACAAAGGCCAGGGACAGAAATACCTCCTGGGTTCTGCCAGTGCAGAACACTCCCACCAAACAGATTTTCTCTAACATGCTGGTTGAATGATTCCTCCTGAATTACATTCATTAGGAATTTGAATGTTTCTTTCCTCCATCCCCCATCAAATCATTACTCCGGAATAAATGCATTCATCAACCACCTTGCTCAGTTCCCTCCTGCTTTGTTCAGTCTAGTTTTAAAGCATCTCCACTGAAACCGTTTGCACCTGACTTGATGCTAGCGCACGAAAGGGGGAAAAAAATAAATAGGAGAAGAATTGAGCGCCACTCACAATATTGTGAAAATAATTGGAAAATTATTTCTTAAAAATAGCCAACATAATAAAGGAGGGAAAGGACTACATTCCTTCCTCCCCACCTCCGATCTCTTCCACAATTTCTGGGATTGCATCGAGTATACATATTCCAGATGGGCTGGAGAGAAGGAGGTTGGTTCTTAATGACACGTCTTTCGCTGCCTTTGGAATGAATGATTCATTCGGATCTTGCCGAGACTCGGTGCCACAGTTGAGTTACATTTCTAGAAAATCCGTATCTTTAATTCTGGCGCTGCGTGTGGGACCCAGCAAATCATGGAATTACTGCTGTAACTTCGGATTAGTAACGCTTTCTAAATGATAGTCTAATTCCAGGCCTTCATGCTTTTCAGCGTTCACACTCACACAGCCTTTTCCCTGGGAGGCTTCCTGTGGAATAAGTGCTGGCGTCTTCGTCTTTCTCTGCCCTTTTTAATTTCTCCAATGACTTCTCATTAGAATATATAATAACAGCTCCTCAGAACTTTTCTTTCTCCCGGTATAGCCAAATTCAGGCTGAGATCCTTTTTCCTTACTGTGGTTATGGCGATGCTTTGCTGGCCCTGGAAGGGTGCACAGGCAGATTTAGCTTGGCGGGCCTACGTGCCATCTGACACCATTACCCCGTGCAAGGGAAGGTGGAAAACCTGCCTGCGAGGTGCGGGGGGCTCCCACCTCTGGCCGGGGCTCGGCCCCGCGGTGCTCCCCTCTCCCTCGGCAGGGAATGCCCGCTGCGGAGGATGGGGCAGGGTACCCGCGCTCCGCCTCGCCGAGCAGTGGGAAGGCGGCAGCGCCTTTCCCAGCCCTCCCCATCTCCCGCAGCATCTCCTGGGGGGCAGAGAGCCAGCTACGAGCCCGCTGCCACAGGAAGGTTTCTCTCTGCAGCCTTCCCGGAGCTGTCACGACCCGTGTGGGTTGGCGGCAGCGCGGGGATGATCCCTGCGGGGTGCGAGCGGCCAGCGCCGTGCGAGGGGCTGCTGGCGATGCTCGCAGCCTGCCCCAGGGTGCCGGGGGGCCCGGGGGACCCCGGCCCCGGCCAGGGGCGCTCGCCCCACGCCAGCTGGGAAAACGTGCCGGGGAGGCTCGGCGGAGAGCACGGTGCTTTGTGTCGCCATGGGAACGGAATGCAGATGTGCCAATTGCTTTTCTTTTCTTTTCTTTCTTTCTTTTTCCTCTTTTTTTTTTTTTTTTTTTTTTTTATTTGCCAGACATTGTAATACATATTATGTTTCAACTTCTGGGGCTTGCAGCGGAGGTGAGGGAGGCTTTGTGCCTTGCCAAGCGCTCGGCTCCCAAAGAAGCCTCAGGGCCGGGCGGCTGCACGCTGGAGGGGTGCACCCAGCAGCGGGACCCCTTCCCCAGGCATCCCCCCGCAGCTACGAACAAAAGCAACAGCCACCACGCAAGAAAAGTGATCACATTCTCACCAACTTGACCTTCCAAAGGGAGGCCAGGATCAAATCCAAAGCCGAAAAAATAGAGCAGGAGAGAGAGAGGGAGAGAGAGGGAGAGAGAGAGAGAGAGGGAGGGAGAGAAGGAAAGATATCCAAAAGCTGGGGGGTTTCGTGGTCTGACCAGTAGGCTGGGACGGGGGGAAGGTTTATTTGGGGAGGGTGCTCGCTCTCTCCATCCTCCCAGAGCCGCAACACTCCGCAGCCTAGGAGTGAATTTCGACGTGCGTTTAACCGATAATTAAACCCCGGATTTATTTGGCAAAGGAAGAATTGGCGCAGGGCTCGCCTCGCTGTCCCCGTCCCTCCCGCCTGCTGCCGCGGAGCCCCGGGCTGCCCGGAGCGGCCCGACGGGGAGGTCGCGGACCCGCAGCCCTTACCTGGAGCCCCCAGGGCGGCGAGTCGGGCCGTCTCTGCACTGCCGGTCCTGGTGCGGCCGCTTCCCCTGGGCGAGCAGGTCTGGAAGTCATTTCTACTTTCGGTTATCTAGCTTTATGATGGCTCCACAACACTCATACAGCTAGATAACCAAAGACAGAAACATCCCTCCGTCGGGGATGCCGGCCATCCGTCCGTCCGTCCTTCCGTCCGTCCGCTCCAAGGTGCGGGCACGGCCGGGGCAGGGCGGCCAGGAGCTGCCACCGGGAACCACACACACATTAAAAAAAAAATTAAAAAAGAAAAAAAGAAAAAAAAAAAAGAAAAAAAAAAAAAGAAAAAAAAAAAAAGAAAAGAGAGAGAGAGAAAAAAAGATAAATAGGAAGCAGAGATGAGGAGCCGGGGCAGAGCCACGGACGCACGGCGGGCTGCCGCGGGGGCTCGGAGCCAAACCGCGCCGTACCGAGACAGGTCGGGCTGTGCCGAGCTGAGCCGAGCCGAGCCAGGCCGGGCCGGGCCGGGCAGCGCGGGGCTGGGCCGGGCTGGGCTGGGCTGCGGGGGCCGATGCGAGGCGCTCGGTGCCCAGCCCGCCGGCCCGGCCCGGCGAGCGGCACTCGCGCTCCCGCCCCGCTGCCCAACTTCTACTCCCCTCGCATGGTAATCGCCCCCTTTGGGAAGTGACGTCACGCCGCGCCCAGCCAATCCCCGAGCCCTCATTTAAATCAGCGCCCCCTTTCCCGCGCTTTCCAGCCCGGGATGGGCTGCGCGGCGGGCCGGGATGGGACGGGGCGGGCCGGCACGGCTGGGCTCGGCACCGGGCGGCACCGGGCGGCACCGGCCCCTCCGCCGCTCCTCCCGCCCTGCCCGGCCTGTGCCGGGGCTGCGCCGAGGGTCGCTCGCCTCCCCTACCCCCGCCCCGCTCCCTCCCGCCCCGACGTGCCCCCGCGGCACCGCCGCTGGGCCGGGCGAGAGGCGAGCAGCACCCCTGCACAGCCCTGCACCTGCAACTGACCTCCCTTTCCCGCTCCCCGGCGCTCCCCTCTCTCCTGTTCGCCTCTTTCCCTTTCCCCTCTCTTCCTTTTCCCTCTCCCCATCCCCTCTCCCCTTCACTCTCTCCCTTTCCCTGGCCTTTCCTTTCTCCCCACCTTTTCCCTTTCCAACCATTTTCTTTTCGTATTCCCGACTCCTTCTCCCATTTTTCCCTCTCCTCAGTGTTCCATGCACCCCCCCCATGCAGCGTACCTCTCTCACACCTTCTCCTCCCCCAGCAATGCCCTTCCCGTCCGGCCTCCGCACCTGGGGGCAGCCCGAAAGGCAGACCCTTTCTCCGCAGCCAAACGCGGGGCCCCCCGTCCCGAAACGTGCCCCGGGAACGCACCCGCGATCCCCCACAGATCCTCTCTGCTCCCCATTTCCCCGCACTTTTAATTATTTCCCCTCCAGGTTCTGCGATTTCCTGCACAGATGCTTAACGCGATGTGCGTGTAGCGGCGAATCCGGCACATACAAATAATAACAGCAACAATAATCAGACTAAAATGCCAGGAGGTAAATATGATTATCTGGGGTGCTTAACTGACCTACTCCTCGCTAAAAAAAATTTAAAAATAAAATTCTAAAAATAAAAATTGTAATCCCTCGCCGCTTCTGAACATCGCCTTTCTTTAAATCCCAGACGAGGGTAAAATGTGACCTGCTACAAAACGAAGCGATCTCGGCGGGAGCAGCCGCGGCAGAGCGCTGCCTGCCGGTCCCGCCGCCTCCGGCTCCCGGCGAGCTCCGCTCGGATTATTTATTTCTCCCTCTCTTCGCCCTCCCCCTCTCCGCCATCCCCTTAAAAAAAATTAAAAATTAAATAAATAAAATCTACGAGCTCAATCAGGCTAAAAGCTAAAGGACGAGGGCTGCCAGCCCTTTGCGAGCCGGCGCTGCTCCCGGCGCCCAGGCGAGCCCGGCCACCGCTGCTTGGCTCCCGGGAACTGCCCGTTCCCTCCCGCCTCCTGCCTAACGAGAAACGGGCCCGGCTGTGCTCTGGCCGCCCCGACGGGGCTGGGGAAGGTGGGGAGAAATATTTTCTCCGTCCCCAGCCCTTCGGTGCCTTCCCCGCGGCCCGGAGCCGCTCGGGAGGGGACTTGGCCGGCGTTTATTTTAATCTATCCTGGAGACGTGGGGGAAAAATATTGCCATGAATGGGATCTCCTTAATTTTACGGCCTTGGATTTTCTCCTAATTTATCGGTTTCGCTGTTAGGGTGGTCGCTGCTAGAATGCTAGCGGCTGGGGCGGGGGAAGTCGCCCGCCCGCCCCGCTGCCTCGGAGGGCAGCCCGGGGCTGCGGGGACGGTGGCACCGAGCGGGCACCAGGGGCTCGCCTGGCCCGGGCACCGGCCTCGCTGCACCCGTTTTAACGGGGGAGGCCCCGTTACTCACCGCGGGGAGAAGCTTGGGGCGCCGCCGACCGCTTTCCCCGCTCCCGGGGCCGCTTCGGCGGCGATGCGGCCCCGCTCCAGCCCCGCTGTCCCTGCGGCAGCGGCGAGGGGGCCCAGCCGGGCAGAGCCAGCCCCGCTAAGGCTCAGCTCTGCCCGGCCGCTGCCGCCGTGCGAGATCTCCCGCCCGCCGTGCCGAGCCCCCGGGCCGCCGTGTCGCTCAGCCGAGGATGCTGCGGGTAAACCACCGCACCCCGCCGGGCTTCTCGGGGCTGGAGGCGGTCAAAGGAGGTGATTTTCTTGGCAGAAATATATATGATATTATTTTTCTTCCCTGCTCCTTTTCGGCAGTGTTTTGCTGTGCTCGGAGCTCTCGCCTTGACCCTCTCTCTCCGTGTAGGCAGAGCCCCAGTACGTGGGAGAGAATACCATGCGCTAGGGGTATTTTTGTTTGGTTTTAGGCTTGGTTATTGTGGGATTTTTTTTTTTTTAATTCCGGTTATTTTGGGGAGATTTTTTTGTGGCGGGTAAGGGTGGTTTGGGCTTTCTTTTTGGCGCAATTTTAGCAGGATGCGTACAAAATGGCTCCTTGGCACAGCGCAAAGCACCATCGAGAAGCCTGGGGACGGATCGGCGGGGCTGCCCTGGCTCCGGAGCTCCGATGGCATCACCCGGAGCCCGCTCGCGTCCTCCTGCCCTGGGCCGCCCCCGGGGGCCGCGGGACTCTGCTCCATCTGCACGAGAGAAAAGCCCCCACGGCGGCGGGCGGCCCGACGGGACGGGGAGGGCCGGCGGTGCCGGGGCTCTGGCCATGGTGCTGCACCGGCCCGGCCCTGCGGACCGGCCGCCCCAGCCCGGGCAGGACGGCCCCGCCGCCCGCTCCCTCCTCGGGTGACCCCGGCGCCAGGCACGGCGGGCGGCCCCGCTGGCCGCACCTCGGAAGAGCCCGGCCGCACCTCGGAAGAGCGCGGTCACCAGGCCGGCCCTGAATTATTTAACGTGATCGCCCAGGAACGAGTCCGCTGCCTTCCCCTCTTCTACGTCCTGCACGTCTGACGTCACTTTTCTTTAATTAGGAGAAGTTATTTTTAGCCAACCTGGAGTAACCCCCCACGCCTCGCAGCCTCGAGCTGCATCTTCTCCTAATTGTTTTTTTGGGTTGGTTTTTCTTTTCTTTTTTTTTTTTCTTTTTTTTTTGGGGGGGGGGGGGGTTGCTTCTCCCCTCACCATCGGGGCTTGGCAAAGAAGCGGCAGCTCCCGACGGGCGTGAAGGAAACGCGTGGCTTTGTTTAGTAATTAAAAGCCGCCTCTGAGCAAGCCCCGGCGCGGAAAAGGGAAAGCGGCTGCGTCTCACCCCCGGCTCCTCTTTTCTCTCCGGCCGTCGGGGCCGGGACCCAGGTGGGGACCGGCCCGGACCCTCCTCGCTTGGCGGGGCGAGGTGCTCCCCGTCCGGGGCCGGGGGTGGAGGCACGTCGAAGGGATCCGGCCAGGTGCAGACTCTCAGGCCACCTGCACTGCTATGATTCGGGTTTCCTTAAGGCTGAGGCCTAAAATGCGTTTCACTTCCAGGGTGATACAGGGGAAATAAAAAAAACAAAACAAAACAAAACAAAACACAAAAGCCAAACAACAATCCCCGAGGAATTAAGCAGTCGCGGGAAGGCAGGGAGCAAAAAGGAAGAATGAATGGGGGGAAAATAGAAAATTTTAAAAATGAGGGTAAAAAACAGAAAGAAAAACAAATTTATAAATTTATAATAAACAAGGATGAAATAAAATAAAAATGCTTTCCCCCCCTTTTCTTCCTTTTTTTTTTTTTTTTTTTTTTTTTAGCAAAGGAAATGCATACAGCAAATGAAAAACGAAAAAAAATCCACCAGAAGCCGGTGGCAGATCAGGGCACAAGCAGCGGTAGCCTCGTTGCTGCTCCTCAGGGGTAAATCCGAGCAGGGGAGCGGGACGCCCTGATGTCCTCCCCCTCATCCCTAAAATCAGGCCCTGCAGCAGCACCCGCTGCACCAGGAGGATGAACTTCCTCGGGAGCCCGGGATTTCTCCCGCGGCCTAAAGCCTGGGTGTCCCGGGAGGCTCGGCCTCATCCGGGCGTTTTGGCCGGTGCCGCTTCTCCCACCGGCGGGAGCGGAGGTTTGGGGGATACCCGGCATCCCCCGGCAGCGCTGGCCCCAGCTCCCCGCCGTCCCGTCGGGGCTCAGCCCGCCCCGGGCCCCTCTCCCGAGCTGCAGCGTGCCGGGCATCCAGGGAGAAGCTGCCGGAGCAAACGCGTCCCCGGCAGCAGAAGGCGCCGGGTGTTTCCCACTCGTGCCCCGCCAAGGGTGAGCCGGGGCCGGGCAGCGGCGCGGGGCGGTCCCGGTCCCGCGTGGTGCCGGCACCTGCAGGAGCCCAACTTCCCGGCGGGGACCGGCCCAACTTCGTATCCCCCCTTCCTCTCTCCCTGCCTCCCTCCTCCCCCTCCGGCAGCCGGTGCGTCCCCCCCGGAGGACACTGTCCCCCCGCACCTCCCGCCTCCCGGGGCCGCCCCGCCGAGGCGGCGATGCCCGGCCGCGACACTCACTCTGCTGCCGTGCGGAGGGCAGGACGGTGGTCCCGGGAGAAGCGGGCGGCGGGGCCATTCCCCTCCCCGGGGCGGGCGGAGGGGCGGGCTGGGCTGCCCCCGGCCGAGCGGTGGCTCCCGCAGCCCCCAGCCCCGGGCGCGGGCCGGCGGGGGCGGCGGAGGCGGCTCTGCCCCGGCTCCGTGCGTCTTCCCGGCTGCTGCCGGTGCCGGCTCTGGTCGCTGGCCGGGAGCTGCCGCCGCCGGCAGGCTCTGCCCGCACTGACGTCAGCCCGGCAGCCGCCTATTCACTCCAACCATGGCGGAGAGGAGGAGGAGGAGGGAGAGGGGGAGGGGAGGAGGCGGTGGGAGGGAGGGGGAGAGGAGGAGGACGGGAGGAAGGCGGCGGTGGCGGCGGGGGCTGGTGGCTGGCAGGCTCCGCCGAGCAGAAAGCGCAGCCCCTCCGCCTCACCCCTTAATTACCCCCCGAGGATGGGGCTGCGCGGGGGAGGGGGGCCGCGTACCCCCCTTTCCCCCCGGAGAGCCCCTCTGCCTCCCGCTCCCCCGGGGCCGCCGTCGCTCACCTGG